CGCGCGACTGCTGTTGTGCGTGCGTGCGTGCGACTGACGACGGGACCACGTGGCCCGCTATCGAAAGGGTTGCGGGGCCCGCTATCGAAAAAGGGGCCGCGGGGCCCGCTATCGAAAGTGCCACGGGGCTCGCTAGCGAAAAAGGGTCCGCGGGGCCTGTTCCTACGGTCGACGGGAGACGGGCGACGGGCGACGGGTGGCGGGAGGGGAAAAAAAATCGACGGGCAACGGGCGACGGGAGGGGAAAATCGACAATCGACGGGCGACGGGAGGGGAAAACCGGCGGGCGACGGGAGAGCTGCGAACGACGGGCGCGCTACGGGCGACAGGCGACGAGCTAAGGGGCGCGCTCTAGTAGCGATTTCGGTGGGCCCAACTATCGAGACTGAAAACGCTAGGGGAAACCATAGCTAGGGTAAACCTAGCTCTATACCATGATAAGAAATGAGAATGAATAGAAGTGGAAAGTGAAACAAGTATATAGGAAACCTAACCCTAACCCCAACAAGTTGAAAGTACACCTAGACTAACAATAGAAGCTATAACAAATATAGCTTGACACCGCGGACAAGCTCTCCTCCCGCGCTATTCCCTGCGTCTTCCTTGGCTTCCCCCCTGATGCGCCTGGCTGGCAGTTTTACCACCCCACCTCGCGCCGTGTCCTCCCCTCTCAGGCTGTCACGTTTGACGAGTCGGTTCCCTTTTACCGTCTCTTCCCCTACCGCACTTCCCCTCTCCCCCCCTCGCCACTCTTCCTTGCTCCAGGTCCCCCTCCGGTAGACCCCCTCCCCCCTCAGGGTCCTGCTCCCTCAGGTGTGTCTCAAGTAGACCCACTCCCCGGGACTGTGCATGTCGAGGTCGATGTAGACTCAGGTGCTGCTAGAGGTGCTGCGTTTGGGGGTGCTGCGTCTGGGGGTGCTGCGTCTGGGGGTGCTGAGCCTGCGAGTGTGGAGCCTGGGGGTGCTGATCCTGAGGGCGCGGAGCCTGGGGATGCTGAGTCAGAGGGTGCGGAGTCTGGGGATGCTGAGCCTAGGGGTACTGCGTCTGCTGGAGGTCCTGCGGGTGCCTCGCCTAAACTGTCTCCCTAGCGGGAGCCTCTCTCACCGCAGCAGCTGCGCGAGTGGTTTGCTCAGCGCACACGCCTTAGGAGTGGCGCTGCAGGAGCTGGAGGCTCTGCCGCTGGAGGCACTGGAGCTGGAGGTGCTGGAGCTACTAGTCTTGGAGGTGCTGGAGTTACTGCTGGAGCTGGAGGTACCAGAGGTGTTGGAGCTGCTGGTCCTGCAGGTGCTCGTACTAGAGGTACTGGAGCTGCCGGAGCTGGTGATGTTGGAGGCACTGGAGCTGGAGACCCTGGAGCTGGAGACCCTGGAGCTGGAGGCACTGGCGCTGGAGGCACTGGAGCTGGAGGCACTGGCGCTGGAGGCGCTGGAGCTGGAGGCACTAGAGCTGGGGACTCTGGAGCTGGAGGCACTGGCGCTGGAGGAGCTGGAGCTGGAGGAGCTAGAGCTCGAGACCCTGGCGCTGGAGGCGCTGGAGCTGGAGGCACTGGCGCTGGAGGCGTTGGAGCTGGAGGCACTGAAGCTGGAGACCCTGGAGATGGAGGTGCTAGTGCTAGGGGTGCTGGAGCTAGCGGTCCTGGTGCTGGAGGCACTGTGCAGCGGTGCCCGTTTTTCATTCCGCCGCCGCCGTCGTCTCTGCCGCCACCTGACTCGGTCCTTCGCCAGGTTCTTAGTCTCCTGTCTACTACTGGCCTTACTCCTAGCTTACTGTGTCCACCGCCTCACCAGTCGCAGCCACAGCTATAGCCAGACTCCCCACTGCCTGCTCCTTCTCCTTACGCTGAGTAGACAGACTCATTTACAGAGCGTCGTGAGCCTGAGTCTCGTCCTGCCTCGCCTTTTCGAGTTGTTCGCACGGGTCGTCGTGTTCCTCGTCCGCGTCCTCCTCCTGTCCCCGGCACTCACGTTTTGGCACTTCGTCCTTCCTCTGTTTCACTTCGATTTCCCCTGCCGTCTCCTTTTGCTTCCTCTCTTCCTGACGTTCCTGACCCTGAGTCTGCCTTAGTTCGTGCTGCCAGTCCTACTGTCCCTCATCTTCTAGCCACTGTTGTCACTGACCCTTCGTTTGAGTCCGCTGCTGCGTCTGCCCTAGTTGCTGAGCTTGTTGACTTTGCTGCCACCTGTCGTCTCGACTACGCCACTAGTCTTTTTGCTGAGTCTGAGTCTGACTATCCTCCGTCCGTCGGGGGTGAGCGTGTCTTGGCACGGACGTCCTTGAGGACAGGCAGGAGGACTTTGAATGTCTTGCAGCTGCTGTACCTCATCTCGTCCCCATGCTGCTTGCACCTGAGGGAGACCCGGATGTACCAGACATCCCGACCCCGCGCTCTTACGCAGAGGAGATTACGGGTCCCTACTCCTCTCAGTGGTAGACAACCATGGACGCAGAGATGGCATCCTGGAAGTCCACAGCCACCTATGTCGACGCAGTTCCCCCTTCTGGGGCGAACATAGTCGATGTCATGTGGATTTTCAGGGTGAAGCGGCCGCCGCGTTCTCCGCCTGTCTTCAAGGCTCGTTACGTTGCACGAGGCTTCAGTCAGCGACAGGGAGTTGACTTCTTCCATACCTTCTCCCCTACCCCAAAGATGACCACTCTTCGGGTTCTGCTGCACGTCACCGCTCAGCGTGACTACGAGCTGCACTGTCTTGACTTCAGCACAGCTTTCTTACAAGGCAGCCTGCACGAGGAGATCTGGCTGCGCCGTCCACCTGGCTTCACTGAGTCGCTTCCTGCAGGTACCCAGTGGAGCCTCCGGCGGCCAGTCAACGGTCTCCGCCAGGCGCCTCGCGAGTGGCACGACACACTGAGGACGACGCTTGCGGCTCTTGGGTTTGCTTCTTCGACTGCTGATCCGTCGCTGTTTCTGCGCACCGACACTTCGCTGCCGCCGTTCTACATCCTCGTATACGGCGACGACTTGGTTTTTGCCACTACTGATACTGAGGCACTAGACCTTGTGAAGTCGGAGCTGCAGAAGAGACACACCTGCACTGACCTGGGTGAGTTGTGCAGCTATCTTGGTTTGCAGATCACCCGGGACAGAGCACGGCGCACCATCACCCTGACTCAGTCACACATGGTGCACCAGGTCCTTCAGCGCTTCGGCTTCCGGTACTCCTCACCACATTCCACTCCTCTGCCTACCGGTCACTCGATCTCAGCTCCACCTTCGGACGAGTCCGTAGAGCTGAGGGGCCCGTATCCATAGCTTGTGGGCTGCCTCATGTACCCGATGACCTGCACTCGACCTGACCTTGCCTACCCTCTTAGCATCCTGGCACGCTACGTTGCGCCCGGGAGACACCGACCTGGGAGGCCGCTAAGAGGGTGTTGCTCTACTTGTGCAGTACGTCAGGCATGGGGTTAGTGCTTGGAGGACGGGGTCCAGTTGTCCTCACCGGTCACGCAGACGCTTCCTGGGTTGACGATTCAGCTACGCAGCAGTCGTCACAGGGTTACACTTTCAGCCTTGGCTCCGGCTCTGTTTCTTGGTGGTCTACCCGCTCGTCATCTGTTTTCAGTTCCAGTTGTGAGGCTGAGATCTACGTAGGGGCCATGGCTGCATAGGAGTTACGCTGGCTCACCTACCTGCTGACCAACTTGGGAGAGCAGCCTCGTTCTTCTCCAGTTCTGTACGTAGACAACAAGGCCATGATTGCCTTGTGTTAGGAGCACAGACTGGAGCACAAAACGAAGCACATCGCTCTGCGTTACTTCCTTGCTCGAGAGTTGCAGCAGCGTGGTCAGGTTCGTCTAGCTTACGTGGCCACTAGGGCCAACACTGCTGATATATTCACCAAGGCACTTCAGTCTGGTGATCATCAGCGTTTCTCTACTGTTTTAGGTCTTGTGCCTACGTTGCCTCCTTTGCTCACTACGTGACTCTGTTGTACTGTGATCTTTATATATTCCTGCATGCTTACTCTTGCTAGGCTTTGATCACTGTACTGTTTGTTCCCTTTTTATATAACTCTGCATGTGAACTGGCCTTGTGGCCATTTGCTTGTGCTCGGAATGTGTGGTGACATCGTGATCCACCCTGAGCTTGCTTTTCTTTTCTTGACTGGTCTTGTGACCACTTGTTCTCCCCCATTTTGCTTATGGGGGTGTGTCAAAATGTTATAGTGCTTACATTGTGTAGGCTGTCGTGGGGTAGTCCATAAGGTGTACAACCCAATTAGGGTTAGCACTTGTACCCAACTCATTCATAGTTCATTCATTCTCGTTCAGTATTCCGACAGCTTACCGCATACAAGACCATTCCCGCCATCGGCACCCAACAGTAAAACGTTACCCGCTCGCGACAGTCGCCTCGACTACGACTCCCGCCACTGTTCACGATGCGACCCAACCTCACGGCTCGGTTCGTAACCCGCGCTCCGGACTTCCGCCTCGACATTTCCCAGCCTCGGCGCTAGGCTCGAGTGCACCCCAATTTCTCGCTGTACTGTTACCACTCTTGTTCGCTATATATGCTTAGCTCATGCCTTTGCTCATTATATTGTTTTGCTTAGATAGTGCAATTCTCGCTTGTTCGCTCAATTGCACTCGTAAGACTAGCCCTCACCCTGGTTGTTGGTGGAGGTTTGTCAATCTGTTGTGTGACGACCCAACAGTGTCGACTCTGATCTGTCACTAACGCGTTTAGCGCTAGTGGGCCTCATACTGGTTACAGTGTCCTTGACAAGCTTGCGTGTTAGTAACGGAAAGCTGAAGAATTATTAGGTATATTTTCCGGCCTTCTGATAGTCTTCATCGCATAGATTCCTCTATCACATTCAGTCCAGCACCGTTTGGATTGGTGTTCGTTCGGATTCGTTCACAACTTGACTTGACCCCATTCTTGATGCCGGCCATACTACCGCGAGCAGCACCACCGTCCGTCGTTGCGTGTGGGAACCGGCACATGCGAGCTGGCGTGCTGTAGCGGGGTGCGCATGGGCATCGCGTGGTCGCGCTGGCTCGACGTGCTGCACGGTGGCGAGTCGGAGGGCGTGCCGCCCGCCGTGCCGGCGATGGTGCAGCGCGCGTACGACCAGTACGCGGACGACAACGGCGTGATGACCAGCAAGGCGCTGCTCAAGTTCTTTCAGGAGTTCCAGCAGGACAAGGTGCGGGGGTGGGGGGGGGGGGACAAGGTGCGCGGGATGAGCTGCGCGCGGGGGAATAGTTGCGCCGGGGGGAATCAGACGTTGCTAAAGTTCTTCCCTCACGCCACTCTTCCCCCTTCCCCCCTCCCCTCCCACCATTTCTCTGTAAATTTTACTCCGCCGATCCCTGTGTGGGCGCAGGGCGTGCTGCACGGCCCGATGGCGAACCTGCTGCTCTCCTTCCCCTCGTCCAGCGCCAAGCCCGCGGACGGCATCCCCCAGGTCAACCGCAGCCGGTCGCACCGCGCGCAGACGCAGGGGCACCGGCACTCGCGCACGCTGACGCGGTACTCGCTGACGCTGGGCGGCAGCCGCATGAAGGCGCAGGCGGAGCCCAACGCGGACCAGTTCCTCCACGTGCTGCTCGCCCCGCTGCTCACGCCCGCCCTCGCTAACCGGGTACTGCGCGCTGGGGGGGGGGGGAATGGGGGAGGAGGGGGAACTGGGAGCGGGTGACAGTGGGTGAGGATGATGTGAGGCGGGTCAGGGCAGCGTGGGTGGATGTGGCGGGTGAAGGCAGGATGCAGCTTCAGACACGCACCATCAGTAACCGCGCCCTTCTCCCTCTGCCCCTCGTTTCCTCTTCTCCCCCTTACTCTCCTCCCCTCTCCCCTTGTTCGCTCCCCCCGGATGGTGCATGGCGGGGTGCAGGTGAGTGCGGACATGCGGTTACCGCTGTCGCACTACTACATATACACGGGGCACAACTCGTACCTCAAGGGCAACCAGCTGACGAGCGACAGCTCCGTGAAGCCCATCGTGAAGGCGCTGCGGCGCGGTGTGCGCGTCATTGAGCTCGACCTCTGGCCCTCCAGCGACAAGTCTGAAATCCTCGTCATGCACGGCGGGTGAGTCATGCACGGCGGGTGAGTGAGAAGCGAGTGGGGATGCGATGGCAAATTCGTTTGAGCTTATCCTGCCCGCCCTGTTACATAGCCTCGCCAATTTGTTCTTGGAATACGTTTCCAACACACACTCCCCTCGTCTCCCTCTCTCCCGTGTGCGTGGGTGCAGCACGCTGACGCGGCCCGTGGGGTTTGCGGAGTGCATAAGCGCGATAAAGGAGCACGCGTTCGCCGTGTCAGACCACCCCGTCATCATCACCCTCGAGGACCACCTCCCTCCCCCTCTGCAGGCCATCGCTGCCCAGGTAGGCTGCAGGCACGCTCAAGCTGGGAGGGCAGCAGCAATGCGCACTGCTCTGCTGGATGCCTGCCATGCCCGTGATTCGCGCACGAGTTACCCTTCTCCCATCGCACACCACCCACATTCTTGCTGCTGCACTTTGTTGTTCAATCTTCTTCCTGAGCCGCTTCATATCCAGCTCACCCTCCTCCCCACAGCCCCCTGCTCCTCCTCCTCATGCCCTTAACCCTCTTTTCCCCTCACTTTCCCCCTTTCACCCCTCCCCCGCCTTCCTTCTCCCACGCCCCTCCGTTTTCAGGCGATGTGCGAGGTGCTGGGCGACATGCTGTACATCCCCGAGGACGAGTCCCCCCAGGGCGACTTCCCCTCGCCCTACTCGCTGCGCCGCCGCATCCTCGTCTCCACGCAGCCGCCCAAGGGGCCCAAAGAGCTCTCCACCGTCGTCGCCCCTGTTGGATCCTTCCGGGAAGTTGCGGGCGTTGAACCATGCTCTCCACCTTGCGTGTCCCCACGTAATCGTGATGTGGCACGTGTTGACTCGCCTGCTGATGTGGCACGTGTTGACTCGCCCACTGATGTGGCACGTGCTTCCTCATCTGCTGATGTGGCGCGCGCTTCATCATCGGATGATGTGGCAAGTGGCCGTGTTGTTAATGGTATGGTTCGCACTCTACCCGCTGCTGACGTGGCATGCAACTCCCATGGTGCTGAGCTGGCACGGGGCCAGACGGACTGGCTATCATTCAGAGACCTGGCAGAGGGGTCATCATCTGCAACGCTGGCTTCGGGTGGTGGTGGTGGTGCTGCTGCTGCTGCTGCTGCTGCGCCCCCGCACTCACATCCTCTAACACACTCACATGCGCCTGCCAGCATCAGCCAGCTATCGGGCATAGAGGAGATGGCGGATGACCCAGGAGGAAAGGGAGGAGGTGCAAGGGCAGCGGGGGAGGGCAGTGGTGCGGAGGCAGGGGCAGCAGAAGGGGGGAGCGGGCGGGCGCGGGGGGGGCGAGAGTCCTTTTCCTTCCCCGTGGCGGCGGAGGGGGGCGAGGGTGGGGGGGGCGACCCCAGTGTGGCGCTGGGGGCGGCGCTGAGCATGGGCAGCAGGCACCGCAGCAGCAGAGGCAGTCCTGTGGGCGGGCCAGGAGGGTTTTCTCGGCGCATCAGAGGGATTCCGTCTCGAGGCAGTGGCAGTGGGCTGGGGTGGGGCAGCATGGGGCACAGCATGGGGCACAGCATGGGGCACAGCAGTGGGCAGTGGTCGGGGCGGTCGTTGCAGCTGCACCAGGTGGACGAGACGCACCTCCACCAGGTACTGCCTCGCCCGCTCCACGTGCCCCTCTCTGCATCCCCCCCGTTCCAGTGCCTTGCACGCAAATGTATCGCCCAGTTTTGAAAGGACTGGCACTCCTGTACGTGCCACAGGCAGACCCTCAATGCCGACCTTCCCTCCTACTGTTCGCCCCCACTCCTGCTGCTCCTCCATGTTCCCTGCCCGGCAGGTGGAGGTGCAGTGGACGCAGGAGGACGCGGCGGAGGAGGCAGCAGAGGACGCACTGACGGGCAAGGTGCCGCAATACCGCCGCCTCATCTCCATCCCGGGCGGCAAGCTCAAGGGCGGCAGCGTGGAGGAGGGGCTGAGCGCGGGGCATGGCGAGGGGGTGCGGCGCATCTCACTGTCCGAGACGCAGCTCGCCACCGCTGCACGCTCCTCGCCCCACCTGCTGCTCAGGTGCGTGCCATGCACGGGGACAGGCGGAATGGGAAGGACGGGGCGGACGGTTGAAAGGGAGGCGGAGCGAAGAGCGAGGGTTGGAGGCATGATGGGCGTGGAGTGGAGTGGAGTGTGCATGGCAGACATATGAAGGACCATGTGCGGTAAGAGTTTCACTCAGCAGCTATGTCGTATGCACACCCTTGTCGCATGCACACCCTTGTCGTATGCACACCCTTGTCGCATGCACACCCTTGTCGTATGCACACCCTTGTCGCATGCACACCCTTGTCGCATGCACACCCTTGTCGCATGCACACCCTTGTCGCATGCACACCCTTGTCGCATGCACACCCTTGTCGCATGCACACCCTTGTCGCATGCACACCCTTGTCGCCCGCGCACAGCTCTCCGTGTCCTGTGTTGGGCGTCCGTGCAGATGCATGCCAGCAACGCCTCCCCACTCTCTTCCCCTCGTCCCTCATCCCTCCCCATGCCATGCCCCCTGCTCAGGTTCACACAGCGCCATCTGCTGCGCATCTACCCGTTCGGCCTGCGAGTCACGTCATCCAACTACAACCCCATGCAGGTGCTGCTCCTGCCACTCCACCCCCCACCACCCATCGTTGCTGCTTTGTTCGTTGCGTTGCATGTAACATGGCGAGAAACCACATGTGCACATCCACCATATTACATGCCGGGCTCAGCTGCCGGGCGTCTCTCCCGCTGTTTCTCTTGGTGGTGCACTGGGTTATGCCCAGGGGGCCTGCTGCCAGCCATGTGAGTGTCTCTCAACCCCACCCGCGCCTCCCTCCCCCTCGCCACGGCACATCAGGCGTGGCTGCACGGGGCGCAGATGGTGGCGATGAACATGCAGGGGTACGGCCGCCCGCTGTGGCTCGTGCACGGCTTCTTCCGTGCCAATGGTGCCTGTGGCTATGTCAGAAAACCCGCCTGCCTCATGGGGGCAGTTGAGGGGCAAGCGGAGGGGCAGGCGGAGGGGCAGGCGAGGGAGGGCGGGGGCGGGGGGCAGGAGAGTGTGCCGTACAACCCCCAGGCAGTGCGTCCTGTGGAGCTCTTTCTAAGGGTGCGTGCGGCCGCCCTTCCATACCCTCCCACACTGGCCATGGCATGAGCATTTGTACAGTGTGCATCACTTGTCCGCTAGGCCCATGTGCTGCGCTCATTCCCACCCAGCACGGCTGCCATCCCCATGTGCACCAGCACCCAAACCACCGCTCCGCCTCTGACCCAGGCACTCTCTGCTGTGTGCGTTCTCTTCAACCCCCTCCTCCTCCCCGTCTCCCCGTGTGTGCGGGTGGCAGGTGCATGTGATCCTGGGCACGGGGTGGTACACTCGCTTCTCCCACAACAACTTTGATGCTGGCAGGCCCAGCCTGCTGTGCCGGGTGCGTGCATGGCATGGCAATGGCAATGGCAATGGCAATGGCAATGGCAATGGCAATGGCAATGGCAATGGCATGGCATGGCATGGCATGGCAATGGTGTCTCATGGGCCCAGCTCCACAGGGATGTGCATTCAGTGGCTTTCAGCCTTGCATTGAGTGTTCCCTTCTCACCCTCCCCTGTGCATGCCATCCGCCATGCATTATGCTTTATGCATCATGCACCATGCACCACATGTGTGCACACCTCTCTCCCCCTGCTCCTTCACCCGCGTCACGGCACGGGGGGCTCACAGGTGGCAGTGGAGGGGGCGCCGGCCGACGTGGGGGAGAGGCGGCTGGACATTCGGGTGGGAGAGTGGAACCCTTGCTGGGACGACACGCCGCTGCTCTTCCCCCTCACCCTCCCCCACCTCGCCCTCCTCTGTTTCGAGGTCTGTTTCCAAGTTTGCCTCTGAGGTCTGCTTTAATTTCTTGTTTGATCTCCCCTGCACCTGCTCTCTTACTCCATCACCTCTGTTTACCCTGCTGGCTGCTCTTTAAGAAAGATCGTAATGCACCATGCATCATCCCCCCTTTCCACTACCACCCCTCCCCCGCCCCCCTCTCCCGCGCCCTCTCTCACTACTGTGTTGTGCATCCGTTGCTCCTCTTCCACGAGCTTTACTTCCCTGTCTTCCTGTGTGTCTCTCGCTCTGCCATCCCTTTCTTCTGCACAGGTCAAAGTGCTCGGCCTTTCGTCGTCCTGCTACCCATTCTTTGACTATGTGAGCCACACCCACACCCCCTCATCGTTCCAGCCTTTCTGCATTGCTCATGACACGGTTTGTATATCTGTTTCTATGTTTGTAGTAACCCCATCGTCGTTGCATGTTTGTGCCATGAACCCCTAACACTTGGGCCTGACATTGTCTGTTCACCAACCCCTGTGTGCTGCGTTGCTCCATGGCACAGCTGTTTGAGAAGAATCTGTATCAGGACGACTTTGGAGGGCAGGTGGTGCTGCCGGTGATGGGCCTGCGGCCTGGCTTCCGGTGTGTGCCGCTGTACGACCGCAAGGGCCGGCCCATGGCCGGGGAGCAAGGCGACGAGGCAGATGGGCCCAGGCTGCTGTGCCAGTTTGAGCTGCTGAAACCAGGGGAGGAGAAGGAACCACAGGATAGGGTTCCCAAGTCGTCCACTTGGACGGGAGGAGCTGCTAGCAGCAAGATAGGCAGTGAGCAATCACCCCAAAGACCAAAGATTGGCCGAAGCCATGAGATTTGACGGATCCTTGCTCTCGCGAGGTTACAATATGAGCACTATTACAAAGGATGTATTGCTGGCTGTATTCCCCAAATTCTGCAGAGACCATACTAACAATGCAAGTTTACAAGAACCCCTCTTTGTGCCAGATTGCATGCATGATGATTGCATAATGGTTTAGAGATTCTGAAATCCAGAAGCTGGAATCGCTGTGTAACATTTGGGCATGTGATCAACAACTGCCCACGTGGAGGGCTGCCATTATTCATGCGAAGCACCTCGATGTCACCACTCGTTCGCCACCACTTCGGTTTCATCGTTGCTGTGCCCCTGCTCTTGCACTGAATTGGTGTGTGGGTTCTCCATTCTGCAACATCCTGACCCGAGTTTTCCGCCACGTGCTGTGCAACACCCTGCTGGCAGCCATGGCATCCTCCCTCGCATTCCACGTTACCGCGCCGCTGCTCGCGGATTGCTCTAACAACCATAGAGGGTTGAGTAATAACGTCCCCCGTGCCTTGAATCAGCTGAATCCGAATGCACATGGAAGGAAAGTCCATGCATTGTCCAACAGGCGTCGGGGGAGACATCTCTCGTTTGCCTCGCTTCTGAGCCCTGGTAGGTCCCGATATATTCAGTTAAGGCTCGAATGTGATCAAGTTCCGAATCCCAGTAGCCTGGCTCGGCCACCGGCCTGTTGTGCACGTAATGCTACTATGCTCGGTGTTAGTCCTTTGTACGTATGAACCAGCAAATTTTAGAAGTAGAAAATAAGTTGTGTCAAAGTGGTGTGTCTGATGAAAGGCTAGTATATCTAGCCACGCTTGGAGGAGCAATGCTCCCTGATAGTGGATGTAGGCTGTAGCCAACACGCAACGTTCGCCTTCCTTACCACGCCGTGCCATTTCGAACCCAATTCCCGCGGCCTGGCCACTCCCTCGCCACCCAGGCATCGTTGCTCCGCTGGAGAAGCGAGCACCGCCTCGAGGGGGGGCTCTGGCGGTGAAAGCCGCTGCCGCAGATGGTGCTGATGCGGATGGCGCGGGTGCGGGAGCGGGCGAGGCAGCAGCCCCGCGGGTGGGCGCGGTGCTGTTCGACATGGACGGCGTGCTGTGCGACAGCGAGGACCCCTCGCGAGAAGCTGCAGTAGCGCTCTTCGCGGAGATGGGCGTGACTGTGACGGCTCAAGACTTCGTGCCCTTCATGGGAACAGGTGACACGTGACAGCGACCCTGAGCCAGTGAATCGAGTTGTGTATAATTTTCCTCGAGACATAAACTTCCGGATTCACCGTATCGATATGGAATGTCCAGGTTCTGTCTGTCTGGTGAAGGAGCTTCTGTAGGTGCCTGATCATGAGACCAGCAGCGATCAGTGCAATGCAACCAGAGTGGCTGAATGCAGCTGATTTTCTGTTTTTGTTTTAGGTGAAGCCAGCTTTCTTGGCGGTGTGGCGCGGGTGTATGGAGTGGAGGGGTTTGACACGGACAAGGCCAAGAAGAGATTCTTCGAGATCTACATTGACCGGGTCAGACCCACTCTCAACACTGACATCTGCGATTCTATTTCTACACTAACCTGCCAGAATGTGTTTTAGCACAGCACTGACCTATCAGACTTAACAGAAAATCAAAGCTTGCTCTAGCAATGACTTCTAGCAATGACTTCTACTCATGGCTTCACCACTATCATCGATCCCGTTCACCTTCCCTCACGCCACCCCTCTCGCCTCCCCTACAGTTCGCGCGCCCCAATTCAGGCATTGGTTTCCCCGGTGCGCTCAAGCTAGTGGAGGAGGTGAGGCAGATGCCCTTGTGCGTGTGAGAATAGAGTGGACGGTTGTGAGTCAGTGAGGGATTTGGCGCTTTCCATTGGGGGGGCTGGGTACTCAAGAAACACGACAACCTGAACAACCTTGTAGCTTCTATGGTCCTTGCTTGAGTCCTCCTGCACGTTCCCTGCCTGTTCCCATGCCGCGGCCTTCTCTCATCCGGTGTGTATGCCCTCCCTGGTCCGCGCTATCTCTCCCTCCCCAGTGTCGGGCGGCAGGCTTGAGGACGGCTGTGGCGTCCAGTGCGGACCGAGTGAAGGTGGACGCCAACCTTGCAGCTGCAGGCATCCCACAAGACAGGTCCGTGCGTCAGTGTGTGTGTGTGAAGTGAAGAGGGAGAGTTCCCTCATTTGCTCTTGCGTGGGGGACACCGAAGCTGGGGCCTGCATGTGTGGACGCAGTGGTGGGCAAAAGCACGCCTGGCGGTGTGCTATTGGAGCATTCACGTTCCGCCTCCATCTGCCTGCTTCATTCATGGCCTGCCCTGTCCATCCCTTCCCACGTCCCCAGGTTTGACGCCATCGTATCGGCGGACAAGTTTGAGCGCCTCAAGCCGGCGCCCGACATCTTTTTCGCCGCCGCCAAGGAGCTGGGCGTCCCCACGGATCAGGTGACAGCACAGTGGCTGGGGGCTGTTCCTGGGGAAGAGGCTGACAGGGAGGGGCACGGGAAGGACGCAGTTCGTCGTTTTTCCTGTGTTTCTGGCTGAATTTACGAGTCTCTTCCCCCTATCTCACTTGCTGCTCGCTTCGTGATGGATTGTCTCCCCACCCGGCAGTGTGTGGTGATTGAAGATGCTCTCGCGGGCGTGCAGGCAGCCACAGCTGCTGGCATGAGGTGGGTGGGCTTTACATGAGCGTGCTTAAGCGAGCGAGGGAATGTTACCATGGAAGCAGTGATGTGAGAGAAGGTGAACTCAAAGTGTCACTCCCTGTTGTTTTTCTGCACTCTCTGCACCAGCAAATTGCACACCCCATGATCATTTCCTTTCACACAAAATCTAATCCTTTTTACTTTCTCTCTTCCTTGCATGCACACATCTGCCTGGTTTCCCTTTGAACCCCCATTTTCTCTCTTCCTCTTCCCCTTTCCCCCACCTCCCCTCCCCATTCCCCTTCCCCCTTCCCCCTCCCCCATATCTCCTCCCTCCCCCCCACCAGGTCCATAGCCGTGACCACCACCCTGTCAGCCGCCAGCCTTGCCGCTGGCCGCCCCGCTCTCATTCGTCGAGACATCGCTGACATCAGCGTGGCTGACATCACCTCTCTGCGCTACCCCCAAGATGAAGATGACGGCTCATGTGGCGTTGCTGCCACGGCTGCCACAGCTGATGGTAGCTCGTAGCCAGCTTGTGCCTCCTGCAGGCCACCCCTGTCGCTTGCTTGTTTGCTAGCATCGAGCACTACGGTTGCAGCTACCAGCCTTGTGTGCACAGTAGCGGGCCTGATCCTAGGTTGCCCACAGTATTGGGTAGATATGGGCCATAGCCACGTGACACTAGTGTGCAGCTGTGATCTGCTGCCTCCTGGCAAGCAGCCTTATGCTGTTGACGATGACTCGCTTTGTGTTATGAATTGCCTCGCCTTCTCTCTCACGCTCACTTCCTCGCCTTCTTGCCCTTCTCCGTGACTTTTCATACCATCTCTTCCCTCACACATTTGTATGTTTGACATATGCTTTCACTGTGATTTCTTGTTGTCGGCCATTATCTATTCTTTCTGACCTTTCTCTCACCCCCCGTCCATGTTCTCATCTCATTGTCTCTCGCCCTTCTCCCTGGGGGCCCCAGCAGCATCACTGTCCCTGCCTGATGAGGCAGGCGCATCAGGGGAGAGCAAGGGGCTGTGGGCGTCCATAGACGAGCCTCTTCCCCTGCCGGGAGGGTGAGTTGCCAGGGGGAAGTGTGAGTGCGTGGAACGGCAGGGGTACCAGTGGTGTACCTGTAATCGCAAAGTCGTCAGCCCATTACCACGCTCCGGCATGCTGCAACTCACCAAGCTCATACATCCTCACCGTCTGTGTGCTGTGCGTGCGCCCGGCATGGCAGCGTGAGGGTGACGCGGCGGGACGCCATGCGCTACAGCAGCCTGGCCATGGGGCTCGCCACCACCGCCTTCACTCTCGACAACCTCAAGGTCCGCCACCCCCTCACCTTCCCTCCTTCCTTCCCCAACCCAAACCTCCCCATCTTCACCCACTCCCCTTCCTCTTGCCTCCCACCCATTTACACCCCCCTCCCCACCCCCTCACCCCCTTCCCCCCGTACCTGTCTCCCCTCCCCGTTGTGTGCACCTCGCCCCCCAGGCCTTCTCATACGCGTCCCCCAAGGCGCTGCTCAACATGCTCACGGGCACGGCCGTGCCGCCCGCCAATGCGGCGGGGCCACGTGGGCTCGTGAAGTACATCCAGCAGCTGGACCGCAGGTGCGTGCCACCGCATCAGCCATGCGGAGAGGGTGGGTGGTTTAGGGGGTGCTGGAGGTGTTTCGGTGTAGGAAACGAGATGTGTAAACAAGGCGAGGCAGCATCAGCTGTGCCATCAAATGACCCCGTTTGTCACCACCACATCTGCCAACTGTGTGGTGCCTCCCTCTCTACCGTGTCTGCCCCCCCCCCCCCCCCCCCCCCACACCCAGCAGTGGTGCGGCTGACCTGGTGCCGGACTTTGAGCCGCGCCTGCAGTGGCTCAACAGCGCCCCCCTCTCCTTCGACCGCGTGCGTGGCTCCCCCCCTTGCCCTTGCTCCTTCTTCCACTTCACATGCCCCGCACACCTAACATGCTCCACATAGCCCCAGCTTCCACCTATGACCCTCTCCCTCAACTTTTCTACCCCCTCCCCCACCTCCCCATTCTCCCCCCCCCCCCCCCTGTGCGTGGGAGCAGGAGCTGCGCGGCAAGGTGGTGCTGCTGGACTTCTGGACGTACTGCTGCATCAACTGCATGCACGTCCTGCCAGACCTCGCCGCCCTCGAAAAGAAATACGAGGGCCAGCCGGTAGGGGAAAAGGAGTGTGCTGTGCATCTCCCGGCTGTCATGTCCTGGCTGTGCATGCAGAAAGTGTAGGGGTTGCCCTCATGAATGCGAAAAAACCCTTGTTACTCTCTCATGCTCGTGTGTGCTTATCCCCTTGTCCCTCGGTTGTGTGCATGGCATGGGGCCGTGGCACCAGGTGGTGGTGGTGGGCGTGCACTCTGCCAAGTTTGACAATGAGAAGGACCTGCCGGCCATCCGCAATGCCGTGCTCAGATACGATGTCGCCCACCCGGTACACCTTGCTGCCTCTCCCTCCCACCCATGCACCCTCAGTGCCTTGCCACGCCCACTGTATGCCAGTATCACCTGGGCCATGGGGAGTTCTCACCAAAGCACTAGGCAATGCCTTACATGTGTGTGGTGGGCTTGGCTGTGTGTGCCAAGCAGGTGGTGAACGACGGCGACATGCTCATGTGGAGGGCACTGGGCGTGTCATCGTGGCCCACACTGGCCCTCGTGGCGCCCACAGGGCGGCTCATCGCCATGGTACCAGGGGAGGGCAACAGACAGCTGTTTGACGACCTGATAGCCGCCTCCCTCGAGTACTACGGCGCCAAGGGCGCGCTCAGTGACGCGCCCATCCCGGTGGCGCTGGAGCGCAGCAGGGACCAGCGTGTGGTGGCGTCGCCACTGCGCTTCCCCGGCAAGCTGGCGTCGGACCTGGCCAACGGGCGCCTCTTCATCTCCGACTCCAACCACCACCGCATCGTCCGTCCCCCCGCCCCGCCTCGCCTACCTGCTACCGGCTGCGCTCCTTTCTCTCTGTAGCCTAGCTGCGCATAAAACATTCACAATTTCGCACTTCCATGACCCCCCACCCCCCAACCGGCCCACTGTGCTCCGTTGTTGCTGGTGCTGGTGTGTGCATGCAGGTGGTGACGGACCTGCAAGGGAACTTCCTGGCGCAGATAGGAGGGGCGGGCGATGGGCTGGTGGATGGGTCGTTCGAGACGGCTCAGTTCAACAGGCCTCAGGGCGTGGCGTATGATCCTTCTCGGAACCTTCTGTTTGTGGCGGACACGGAGAATCATGCCCTGCGGTGAGAGCACAGTGAGGCAGGCGAGATCTGGTCCGGTACATGGGTGATGGTGGAGCCATGGCAGTTATTGGTGCCGCACTGCCATCTATTGGTAGAGGCTCACGTGGTTGTGCACCCACACTTTCCTGCACACACGCATGCATGCCATCAGAGTGCTTGTCTTCACTCTCCGAAACCACCTGCCCTTTCCGCCCCTGCTGTCATGTGTGTCCCTGTGCGCGTGGCATGTGGCATGTGGCATGCGCGCAGGCAAGTGGACCTGGTGGCCGAGACGGTGACCACGGTGGCAGGGGATGGGCGCAAGGGGCAGGACTACAAGGGCGGGGCCAGGGGTAGAGAACAGGTGAGGCCAGGCCAGGCACGAGGAGGGGCGAGGCTGCTGTGTGCTTGTGCTGCCATGGTGGCTGCATGCCCTGCTGTCGTGCTCCCAGCAGTTCCCGTTCTCCACTTCTGGCCTCTCCTCCCTCGTGCATGATCACCCACCCCCTCAACGCTGCCCATCTGCATGCCTGGCAGGCGCTGAACTCGCCGTGGGACGTGGAGCTCACAGCAGACAGGGCGGCAGTCATGGTGGCCATGGCGGGGCAGCATCAGATCTGGCGATTTGATATCGACACGGGGCGATGCGTGGTGTTCAGCGGGTCAGGCTATGAGAGGAACCAGAATGGCCGAATGTGAGTGCAAGCCATGGCGCTGTCAAAACATCCATCTGCCTTCACTTTCTTCCGCCCCTCCTTACGAAATCGCCTTGCTCGTTGCTGTTACACCCCCACACCTCCGTCCCTCTCCCCAGGGGCTCTGACACGGCGTATGCGCAGCCATCAGGGCTGTCCCTGGCGCCAGGTGAGCACGCAGGCTCTTCACCACCTGCCACGTGCATGGGCTGGGCTGAGACTCATCACCCATCTTGAGCTGTGGCGTGGGTGACACAATGAGTATGCAATGCATTCTGGTTCGTTTCCTGACGCCCTGCTATACAGGCAGGATTTCCTTTCCTTTCATTTCTCGTGCACTTCCTTCCACTCATATGCATCTTCCTCGTCACAGTAAGAGCACCACCCAACGTGCCTGCACAATGTGTCCCCACACCCCATCTTGCCCCACCCCACCGCTCACCCCAATGCCCCATGTCCGGTATGTGTGGGCAGGCGGCAGTGAGATGTATGTGGCGGACAGTGAGAGCAGTGCACTGAGAGCACTCAATCTGCAGACGGGGGGCTCCAGACTCATCGCCGGGGGCGATGCCAACTTCGCTGAGAACCTTTTCAAGGTCGGCCCTCTGCCTTGCCTGCCCAACCTTGTTGTCATGTCATGCTGCTGCCACTGCCATATTGCATTGCAACTACCCAGCTGTTCCTTGCATGCTCTGTGCGCCTCACCCTCACTCTTGGTCTCCCTTGTGCTGCAGTTTGGTGACCGCGACGGCTCTGCATCCAGAGCTCTCCTGCAGCATCCACTTGGCACGCTCTCATTGGACGATGGCACGGTGCTTGTTGCTGACTCATACAACCACAAGGTGCACCAGCCGTGTCATTGCACTCCCTTCCCTGTCCCAATGTGCTTATCATTGTACTCCCTTCCATGTCCCAATGTAACCTCTCTGAACCCTGTATCCTTGCTTTGTTGCATGCCTGATGCCACACCGCATGGCATCATGCCATCACACCTCACGGCATGCCTGATGGTGCAGATCAAGCTGGTGGATCCGGCTCGTGGCTCTGTCGTCACCCTCGCAGGCACCGGCTCAGCTGGTTTCAGAGACGGGCCGGGATTACAGGCACAGGCAAGCAAAGCTCTGATTGGGGCGGGGCAAATAGGGTTATGGAAAGCAATTATGTGCTGAGGCGATTTTTGAGTCGACTAAAAAATCGCCTCATTGCACGATCTTGAATGCTTCTTCCACCTTCATTGCCTCTCACCTTCTCCATATTTGTTTTCTTGTGCCCTGCTTGCCCCTTGTACAACCACCTCTGCTTCACTCTTGCAGCTCTCAGAGCCAGCAGGCCTGGCACATGGTCCAGATGGTATTACCTCGTGCTCGCCTGATAAGCAAGCACCACATGCACATGCACATGCCGCATTGCCGTTTATCCCTACACTCAAGTTTTCCTATTTCTGAGAATTCGGCCTTCTGTTTTGATCTTCATCTGTCTGTATTATGTCAAATGTGCCTCCTTTGTTCATCTTCCTGCTTCACATCTGTCTGCGTCACATCTGTCTGCGTCACATCTGTCTGCGTCACATCTGTCTGCGTCACATACATTATCAACCCATTACATCCTTCATTCATGTTTCTTTCCTTTTCTCTCCCACTCCCCTCCATCCTCCCGCCTCAACACCAGGCACGGTACTCATTGCCGACACCAACAACAGCCTCATTCGCTGCCTGCACCTCCCATCCGCCTCCTCCCCCACCGCCCTGCTCTCCACGCTCGACCTCTCCTCCCTCCCCCCTCCCCCCGCTGCCTCCTCCTCAACTCAGCGGCGGCGCCTGCGGAGGCGGCAGAAGGCGGACGAGCAGGTGGTGGAGGTGGCGCCAGTGGCAGCCGCCAGGGGCACGCTGCAGCTCGCTCTCTCCATCCCGGCCGACTACCACTTCACTGCTGTGCGCCTCGCCCTGCTCCCCACCCTGCCTTGCTCCCTCCTCACCCCTCCCGCTCATGCCTGTGTGTCTCTTCCTGTACACCTTCTACCCCTGCTGCTACTGCAGTGTTTCTCGCTCATGTCCTCCGTGCCACCTCATAAACACCAGGCATGGGTATGCAACCTGCCCTGTGCCGCGTGCGTGTGATGCGAGCAGGGTGCCACGAGCAAGTACAGTGTGGAGCTGCCAGAAGCAGGGAGGGCAGTGACAGTCACACCGCAGGCCGGTGACCTCACTCTATCGGGCTCACTCGCCCTCGCCTCACTGGACTTCACTCAGGAAGAAGCGGTTGACAGCAGCGGCAGCTCGGTGGTGCAGGTCCACTGCAAGGTACCGCACACTACTTGCACCGTATGGGCATCACCCACCCCTGCCACCTTGCCTTGCCATGACCCTTTTCCTCATGCACCATCTTGTGCTGCTGCCTCCTGTGCATCCCCACCAGGTGTACTACTGCCAGCAGGACGACCTGTGTCTGTACAAGGCTGTCAACTTCAAGATTCCATTCACTCCCTCTGCAGCAGAGGAAGCACAGGACGTGCAGCTGTCATTTGACATCACCCCTGCCCCTGCAGGCAAGGCTCTGCTGCCAACAGCATGAACAGAGATGTGCAATACGTTCCGCGAAATTACACCCATATTTACAAAATCAACTTTCAGGGTCCAAACATTCATGAATTGTTCAGCAAGATGTTATCCAATCACTAATAGTCACTCAGTACTGGCTGACTTGTGGTTTCACCTCACCAGTCCTCTCAACAGGCTGTTTGCTGGAGCTGCAGGAGGCATCATGCACTCCAGGTGGAGCAGGCTCCTCCATGCTGAGGCACCGGGTGTACTCCGCCAGGTACAGGGAACGGGTGAGGTTCACCAGCACCAGGGACAGGCAGGAGGCCACCACACAGGCAGCAGCCATGACCAGGAAGGTGACTCTGAAGCAGTGGGCTCCATGGCACATCAACGCCGGGCCTCCTGACGCTGGTGCAGGCGCAGGAGCAGGGCCGATGGGGAAAGGCGGAGAGGAGGCAGCCTCATGCTCTGCCTCATAGTCGTAGAGGTAGCCAGCGATGCAGACGGAGAGGAGGTAGGAGCCGGTGGGGTTGGTGATGGTGAGCCAGTTGTAGAGCGTGCCGAAGTGCCGCAGCCCAAACACCTCCGAGGCCACTGCGGGCATGAGGCCCCACTGCGAGCCATACGCCAGCCCAACGATGGCAGAGCCCACATACAGCGAGCCAGGCAGTGCGGATGCAAAGAGCAGGTGGCCCGCTGCCATGGCGAGCTGTGTGCCGGCCATGAAGGCAGGGCGCGGCACAGCACGCTCGTGCAGGAAATGCTCTGAGATGTACCCTGCTCCCACGCGGCCCAGGAAGTTCCAGATGCTCATGAGCGACACAAAGATGCCCACTGCCTGCTGCTCGTAGCCCAGTGACCGCCCCACCTGCCCCAGGTTGTTGATGGCTGTGAGGCCCGACCCTGAGGCGAGCGTCATGGCTGCATAGATGAGCCAGAAGGGCACCGTCTGCACCGCCTGCCACAACGTGTGGTCGTCCCCCACCTGCGGAAAGGCTGTAGCAGCTCCTGAGTGATCGCTGCTGGGGTCATGTTGCTCTGACCACGCCTCACCCTCCCTGGCTTTGAGCGGAGCAGCATGTGGTGCAGCAGCAGTCCGCACTCCACTGCTGCCACTGCCCACCAACGGCTGCCCTTCTTCTTCTTCCTGTGTGTGCCGCTCAGCCATCACCCTCTGCCTCACCACTGCACGTCTATCGGTGCCTTCCTGCCCTGCTCCCTTGCCACTCAGCCGTACCTCTGTACCACTGCGGCCAAGGTGTGCTGCCTCTGGCCCTCCTGCTCTGACATTCCCCCCTTCTCCATGCGTCATTCCCTGACTGCCATTGCCCTCCTCCACGGCCTCCCCTGCTGCCAGCCTGGCGGAATGCACGGCGCACTGCTGCTCCGCGACCACCTCTTGACTGATTGCGATGCGAGCAGGCCACGCCAGGATGGCAAGCGCGCCGAGCGAGATGAGCGCGCTGACGTGCCAGGTGACGTGCACGGAGTGGTCCAGCAGGCTGGCGGCGAGCAGGTAGAGCGCCAGGCCCACACCGGCTGCCAGCACCGCCATGAGGTTCGCGCGCTCAGAGGGCTCGCTGGCGGGCGGCAGCTGGTGAATGGCGGGCGTGGCGAGCACGGCGACGAGCGACGGCAGCCACGCCGCCATGAGCAGGAACGCATCGCGGTTGGGCGCGTAGAGCGCGAGGTAGAACTGCGTGAACAGCGCCCCACTCAGACCGATGAAGCCCTGCGGTGGGTGGGACGAGGATGGGAGGATGCGCAACAAGCGGGAGAGGGTGGGTGCGCCAGAGAGTGAATGCGCGTGGAGAAAGAACAAGTGCGGAGGGGAACGCTGATTCGGAAATGAAGAAGGGAATATTCACGAACCGTAGTTCCCTGTCGAAAAGCGAAAACACGCGATACCTTGAGCAGGCCAACTACAGGGCCGCGGCTGTGCGGGAAGTTTTTGACGCAAGTGACGAGGCCCGCTGTGTTGAAGAAGGTGGCGCCGTTGGTGCCCACGCAGATGAACACCATCACCACCCACACTGGCGGCTGCCACGCGCCGCCCAGCCGTCCCGTCAGAACGAGCCACAAGAAGCCGTAGCCAATCGCGTTCAACACGGCCCCGATCGCCAAAACGACCCACGTGGGTGCGATATCGCCGACAAATCCTGACACAATCCCTACGTTTCCGCCAATATCCTTCGCCATACCAACCATGTCGAGAATCTGCTGGTTGTAACCCAGCGTTTCCTTAAAGCTCTGTGAGTACAGGCCGAACATGTAGCTGACGCCTGAACACGCCTCCACCCACGACGCTGCCGCGAGACAGAACCATCGATTCGAGAAAAGCGCGAACCACCACCGCGGATGCAACGCGAAGCGCAAGAGTTTTGCGCCATTAAGTGGTATGGTGTTGTCCCACGGTGAGCCTGACAAAACTGCCGCCATAAGATTGCCATTTCTCGGCCAAGATTGAAGGAAGGGCTAGTAGTCAGTGCCGAGCCCAGGGGAATTTGGTGGGGAAGGGGCTTGAAACGGGGGGACTGACGTGGAATTTTGGACCAGTACCTCCTTGCCACGAGTCGAATCACGAAGCCGATTGTCGTTCTGTAACTCAGCGAAATGTGAAACTTTCATCAAATTTGTGCAACTGGTACAATCACACCCACTCCCGCGAACAGCCCGTTCGAGTTTGTTCAACTGGTACAATCCAAGGCTGTTGAATTTCACTTTCAAATTCCAAAATCATTTTTCTTGAACAGCCATTCTTGAATTTCTAGTTGTGGAATTGCTACCATGCAAACAGACAAGGCATTTCGCGTGAATCTGAATGCTGCATCTGGGTCATTAGCAGCTCTCTTGCTGGCAACTTCCACCGTCCTTGTTAGCATTCTTGCTGCCAGGTTCCCGTCTCGCACTGATTACTATGCACAGCAAATGACATGCCAGCTTTACTACAATCAGGGAGCTCCTAAGTGAGTGTTAGCAAGCTTGAATATTCCGTACAAAGTAACATTTTGATTAACGTTCTGTCCCAACTTTATCAGTGAAATCGAGTGCCTCAGCCGCTGGTGTGCGAATGCTGCAAACTGGCCATTTGCTCGGTGCAATGTTACTCAAGGATTGAAGGATGAAGGATATGACCCGTATTATAATCGCGCTTACCTTTCTGAGGGCTTCCCCTTTGACAAGAGCAGCATGTCGCTTTCCTGGGCTTCGATGTCTCTAATCGCTATAACACTTGTGTTAGAGGTAAGCTGAGTCGTTCGAAGACAGCTGGACCACCTGTATGCTCCCTATGTTGCTAATGAAAGTACAACATTGCAGGTCATAACTCAATTACTTGACATGATCAAGCCGAAGAAGAAAAATCTATCTTACTCAAAACGATATCGCGTGTTCCTGCGTGGCTGTTGTGCGACGTCATGGTTTGTGACCTATATTGCATTTTAACTGTGTGCAAGGATACCCAAGCACATTATGCTCCATGTCTCAATGCAGGATAAGCAGTGCAGTCGCAGACGCTTTGCTCATATACGGATCTTCAAAAGCATCAGAAACGTGGGGGTTATACAACACAACCGAAGGGTTGTGGATTGCCGCTGCTGTCATCAGCGGTCTTGCATTTCTGTCGTCTTCCTTATTCCACTATCTGACGCATCGGCACCTGCGGTACATTAAGACTACTCCAATATCAGGTATGGGGAAGTTTACCTTGTTTTTTAAAGCAGTGATGGATCATGTAGCTTATGCGTGTAAGCCCCAACAGGAAACCTGGATACTCGGCAGGAAGGACTGGTCTCGCAGCATGCGAAACAGCCCATGGACCAGCTTGCGTTGTCAAGAGATCAGATGGCAATGGGTGTTACTGGCTCAGCTCCAGACTCTCGCATATCATCAGACCTAACCCCAATTGCGGAAGCGTCAATGTCTGCTAGCTTTGTGCATGCTGCAATAGGGCACAGAGTATCATCGGATCCGTCAGAGCAGAAAATTAAGTCAAAGGGAACCGAATTTAGTTTGGAGGAGCTTCAACAGGCAACGTTAAATTTCTCTCCCAAAAATCATCTTGGTCGGGGTGGCTTCGGTGAAGTCTACAAAGGTGTTCTGGCAGGCGGTCAAATTGTTGCTGTCAAGAGAATTCACAGGCATAAAATGCTGCATGGAAGAGACGAGTTCAAGTCAGAGGTATGTCGGAACAATGAAGAAGTAAGTTATTCTCGCATCTTCTCTATCCATTGGCCTATTAAAAATTGTGATGGTTTCAGGTCGAAATTCTTAGCAGAGTTCATCACCGGAATCTTGTGAGGATACTGGGGTACCACATTGGGGAGACCGAAGAACTTATTGTGTTTGAGTTTATGGCTAATGGATCACTCGACCACCACCTGCATGGTCAGTAAACAGTGTGTTGTTGTCATGCAATACGTTTACACTAACTAACGTATTTACAGGCAATGCTTGCACATCACCAATTGGCTGGGAAAGAAGGCTTCAGATGGCAATTGATGCGGCAAAGGGTCTGGTAGGTACTGTATTCGCTCTTTGATGGAGCACAGCTTGCAACCCTATCGTTTTTACGAGAGCATTTCTCTCGGCTTCTATCTTGCTGATTGTGACCTTTCCTGGCCATGCTGTGTCGTTCAGGCATATCTTCACCATGATTGCTATCCGAAAGTGGTGCATCGTGACATCAAAGCTTCAAATATTCTTCTTGATGCAAACATGAATGCTCAGGTTTGTGCAATGGCAGTTCTCATCCACCGGCAGCACTTGTTCCAACTGTTACATTGTTTTTGATCATACAGGTTGGTGACTTTGGCCTGGCACGCTTGTTGCAAGATGATTCTGAACATGTCACTACGAGAGTCATGGGCACCATAGGATACTTGGCCCCTGACTACGCATTTTCAGGGCAATTGACGGAAAAGAGTGATGTTTACAGGTAACACTCAACAGTCGGATTTCATTGATAACTGCACGTTGCCTTCTAAGCTGCTCTGTGCCGCGCAGTTTTGGTGTTCTACTGCTGGAGCTCCTTACAGGGAGACAGCCTGTGGATGTCACAGCTTCGACTTTTCAAGGCCAAAGTCTTGTAGAATGGGTATGTAATGTTGTCATGAAGGTGAAAATACAGATCCCAAATCACAGCACTGGTCTCAAACAGTTGAAAGTTGTCATTGAATAACTTGGTTGGCTCGACGGGCATGACTCACGTGGACCCATTTGGGATTCGGCGTCAACTTGATTGCGAGTCCTGCTAACTATATATTTTTTTTGCCGTCCTTCGTTGTGTTGTGCATGTAGGCGTGGCAACAGACAATTGGAGCAGAGACCATAAAAGAGATTCTGGATCCACAACTGAACAATGTGTACAACGCTGATGAGGCTCTGTGCATGTGGCGTGTTGCTCTGGACTGTGTAAATCACATAGCAAAGAAACGACCAACAATGGATAAGGTATGTTCATGAATTTCAGAGGGGCTGGCTGATGTGCATACATAACCGTGAGTCCTTGATGCAGGTTGCCAAGCTACTCCAAGATGCGAGAAAAGAGGAACACATGGTGCATGGGACAGATTCAGCATCAGTTACTGGTAGGTCTGGAGGCGCTGTTGAAATAGCTGTCAGCAGCAGTCTGCCAGTATCATTCTCTGGACTGTTGAGCGGTGGAGCGGAGTCTACACTCTCTTCAACATTTCAGAATGTTGCCAAAAGCCCTTCCATATGGCATGGTGACTCAAGCCCGAGTATGCATGATGAGCCTGAAGTTGCAGGTGAGGTTGAGTGGAGCCACCAGCTGGACATGCTGAAGCAAGCAAATGCAGCCATTAGTCCTACCACGGAGTGGCCGCGTGTGGAGGTGCAGAGTGGTATTGTCTCTGAGAATGAGACTGTTGAGTGGAGCAGTCGATTGGAGAGGCTGAGAAAAGAGGCTCATTAGTGGGTGGGTCGTGAATACCCCACTTCATTCAGACTGGCTAAATGTTATGTACGGTACAACGCTTTCGATCTGAATAATTTCCATGGACTTTGTCTTGTCCATATAGTCACTGCAAGTTCCATGCTAGTTACCCTATCAGGATAGCTGGAAAAGTATTCGCCAGTACAGATCCGTAGTGGGTGTAGCATGTGCGCCACAGTGCTAACCCAATTGATAGGAAGAATGAACTTGACCAAGAAACTGTGCCACCAGACCAGACATGTTAAGCACAGACTCTGATGCCAGCACCTGTGCACAATAGAGTTGGGTTTCTGTCACCACAACTACAAGCTTCAAGCACACCAACCTGCCTAAAGCTTGCTTCTTAACAAGAACACTTTTTGTTTTCCCTATTAGCACTTCCAAATTGGAAGTTCCAATCAGCGCACTTGCACAATCCCTGCTGCAACCAGCTTTTGGATCTTCGCCATGACCATGGGGTTCTTCTGGTGCTGCATGGCTGCCTGAGGGTTCTCCTGGAAGTCTGTGAGCACCTGACGCATGACTGGGTCCGTGAGAATGGACTGGATCTCAGGATCCTGCATCGCTTTAGCTTGTCTCTCTTTAAGCTCCTCTGGCGCAATGTCCCCCCTGTTGGCCTTGCTGATCTGCTGCACACAGCTGATGAGGACAGCCACAAACACCAATACAGCGACGGATGAGAAAAAGGCTTCGATCCAAAGCACAATAGGTTTCTCTTCAAGTCAGAGGCTCACCTCCTGATGCCATCCAACAGCTCCTGGTTTCCTGGTTCCACCTTGAGGCCCTGCTGGTAGGTCTCCATGGCGTGGTCATACTCCTTCATGAAATACTCTGCTGCGCCCTTCCTCAAGTACCCCTTCACAAAAGACTCGTCCAACGCAATGCACTTCTCCGCATCCTTCTTTGCCTCCGGCATGGCACCCAACTTGATGTAGCACGCTGCTCGGTTGCTGTACGACTGATGGTGGAATGGCAAAGGCGGTTCAGAAAAGGTGTGTCAAAATCGAAGTGCAGGGAGGGACAGGGAAATAGACAAGTCAGAATGCCATCAGATACGGTAAGTAGAAAGGAGGAACCGGACAAGGCACAAAACGAATAGCAGTAAGACAACAGCATATGAATGCACACCTTGACGTCTTTAGGATTCCTCTTAATGGCCTCATTGTAGTGTTTGACTGCCTCAGGGAACTTCTGCTGCTTGAACTCCTCGTTGCCTGGACCAGGGAAGGGTGGCACAGAACGGCTCAGGTTCAATCAACCAGGAGGAGCATGCAGAGCAGTGAGGAGCCCGAAGAGCACTGAAGAACATGAAGAGAGGTGAGGGGAATGAAGAGCAATGAGGACATTAAACACACATGCACCAACAACACCTGTCCTTGACACCAATTTCGTTGTTTTCGAAATAAGCAGCATAAGAGGTAGTACCCTTCTCTCTTTCCTGGTCGGCAATGACTGGATCGTAGTACTCCTGCTGTTCCAGCTCCTTCCTTGCCTTCTCTGCCTCGTTGAGCTTCTTCAGTGTGTCGGGATTGCGATGCTCCGTAAGGGCCTGCCCCCATGAGAAAATGGAGATGCATCTATTTAGGCAGACGACCAATGGATGGTGATGCCGCATTAATGACCAAGAAGAGAAGATAAAGTTTGCACAAGCAGGAAGCGACGGAATCAGATGAGGCGGACGGAAGCAATGGCGTGACACAGGGATGAGGGGGATAGGGGCCAGACATGACCTTATTGAAGGCAGCAATGGCGGGCTCGTAGTCCTGGGCTGTCTTGGCCTGCTTCACCAGCGCTGTCCCCTTGCGCGTGAGCGCCCTCGCCACCACCTTGAAGTCCGCATGCACCTCCCGCCCCCGCTCCACCGCCCTGTCACAGTCTGCTATGCACTCTGCGTACTGGAGGCAAGATGGGAGCGCGGGAGTGAGGAGTGAGCAGCGCAGCAAGCAATGTTTAATCTGAAAGAACATAAAGAGAGAAAAACAGACCCTCCCACACTCCTTCACATCCACATTCCCCGTGTCAGCAGCGCCTCACCTTGCCCATTTCAAGGAACACAGCGGCGCGGTTGGTGAGGAAGGTGACGTCAGAGTCGTCCAGCTCTATGGCCTTGCTGTAGTGCTCCACGGCGCTCTCAAACTCCTTGCGCTTGTACGCCGCGTTGCCCGCCTCCTTCTCCCTCACCGCCTCCTGCCTCCTCGCCTTCGCCTCCCTCTCCTCGTCTGTCAACGCCTCCTCCATCGCCTCCCCACCTCCCGCTTCCTTCTCCTTCTCCTTCTCATCCTTCCCCGCTCTGCTCTCCCCCTTGCCGCCCTCCTCCCCCCTGCCCTCGGCGGCGAACGCGGCGGCCTCGTCCGCGGATCCGGCGGAGCGGATGCTGATGCCCAGCGCGGCGCCCAGCACGTCCATCATGCGCGGGTCGCTCAGGTGCGCGTTCAGCAGAGCGGGGTTGCTCTGCACGGCGCTCACCGTCGCGCGGAACGCGGGGTCGCTCAGGTGCTGCCGCGCGCGCGGGTCCGCGTGCAGCCGCGCCCAGAAGTCGGGACCCTGCGGGCAAGGGGGGGTGAGCGGTCGAGTCAGCTATGGTGTACGAGCATCCCCGCCCGCCTTCCCTCTTCCAGTTTTCCTTTGCACTCACCTGAAACGCCTTCGCCAGCGGATTCCCCCCCTCTCCGCCCGCCTCGTCGGCGGCCTGCGCGGCCTTGGCGTCCGCCAGCCCCGCCTGCAGCACGGCGCTGCTAGGCTCCAGCGCCAGCCCGCGCTCGAACGCCTCCACGGCGCGCGCGTACTCGCGCAGCCCGTGCAGCGCGGCGCCCAGGCGGCTGTAGCCCTTGGGCCAGTCGGAGCGCAGCTCCACCGTGCGCTCCGCGTCCGCCAGCGCGTCGCCGTAGCGGTGCAGACTCGCGTGCGCCGCCGACCGGTTGCTGCGAGCAGGGGGGTGACGAGAGGCGAGACAGGTGACGTGAGCAGCGGGGAGAAGGCAGAGAAAATGACTGACGGGATTGACGCTGAGGGCCCGGCAGCTACCGAGGACGACTGGCAGAACCAACGACGACCGTGAACGTTGCTATGCGCGCGGTCGCTTCGCAGATCACACGAACACGAACAGAATACCGCGAGATGCGGCGCTAGCAGGTGAGGTGAGCGCGTGAGTAGCGAAGGGGCGGGGAGGACGCACCTGTAGAGCACGTGGTTGTCGGGCGCGAGCTTGATGGCCTCCGTGAAGTGCTCCACGGCTTCCTCAAACCTCCCCGCCGAAAACGCGGCGTTGCCTCTCGCCTTCGCTTCGTCAGCCATGCTTTCACCTTACCCCTCGACTAATTAAGTTCGTGATGACCAGTGTTGGCAGAAAACGCAGAAATGGAGTGGAGGCTGTAGCTTGATCGAGTTATGGATCCGTAGGGCAGCTCTGATCGGCAAAACCAAACGAGCAGAAACTGGAAGAACCCAGATGGAGGCGCACCTTCAGAAGAACCCATCTCTCGAACTTTCTAAATCGCATCCTCGATATTCGCCACCTATTTGCTCACAGCACACAAGTTTAGGATGAGCTTCCTACATCAAAACTATCTAGCTAGCAAATACATTTAAGTTGGGCTGACTTCAAGACTCAAGTCAAGATGTAAGTACCTTCGAGCAAATTTTTATAGAATTCTCTCATTTGTCTATGCGTTTGGCTCGACTTGATGCATTGATCAATGCAACTCGGTGTGTGCATACGTAGAACGTACCGTACGAGGCAGAGTTGAATCGCTCATATCTTGCAAAATGTATGGAACCACATAGTAGAAATACAGGGAGAGGAAGTAGAAAATAGTATATTCTAGTTAACTAACCTAAAACAAAGGGACTCCAATGCGTATGGCCAATAAAAGTGATGTATTGATCAGTTTGCCCGGTGTGAAATGGCATCAATGCAAGGTACAGTTTGGTACCCTAAAAGAATAAAGTTGTATTTGTCATTATATAAGCGCATGCGCTTATGCCCGAAACTCAATTATAAGCGCCCCCCTTGAAAAAATCAATTTTATTATAAGCGCATATGCGCTACTATCTGTTAAGATAGTGGCACAAGTGGTAGTTAGGTTTAAGTGAGGGCCTAGGCTTAGTAGCCTAGGCCAAGGGAGTCGAGGGAGTTTGTGCCAAGCAGAGAAGCGAGAACTGGAGAATGAATGACTTCACTATAGGTTTGCAAGAACATATAGCAAATGAACAAAGAAGGTGCACCACCTAACAAAGTTTATAATAACTACACTAACTACAACTACAGGCAGTTACAGATATATTCTAACACTATCCGGGGTGATACGGTATTATAAAATGACAAGCATACAAAATATATAGCTAGAGGAAAGTACCTATTCGCCTACTGTATGTCAGATTTATATGACATAGCTACTGTAGGCTATAGTGGGGTAGCACATATGGGGTACAGTTTTCTAGGGTTTACATTTGTACCCAACTTTCCCTTAGTCAATCCATTCTCGTTCAGTTTCTCATGGTATCGAGCAGGTTCCCCTGTGGGAACTGTTCCTAGGGCCCACCACCTTTTTTTTCCTGCCCGGAGCGCGCTCTACACTGCCCGAGTCGCGCTCCCCTCTCTCGACCCTGTCGCGCCGCCTTAGCGGCCCCGTCGCGTCGCGCCTGCGGCCCCGTCGCGTCGCCCTCGCGGCCCCTGCACGTCGCGCCGCCCTAGCGGCCGCGTCGCGCCGCCCTCGCGGCCCCGATCCGCCGCCCTCGCGGCTCCTTCGTGTCGCGCCGCCTCGCGGCCCTTTCACGCCGCCCTCGCGGCCTCTTCAAGCCGCCCTCGCGACCCCCTGCCTCGGCGCCGCCTCTGCTGGCCCCGTCGCCTACCCCTGCGGCCCCGGAGCTGCCCTTCCCGGCCCCGGAGCTGCGCTTCCCGGCCCCGGCGCCGCCTCTACTGGCCCCGACGCCGCTCCACCCGGCCCCGACGCCGCTTCACCCGGCCCCGACGCCGCTCC